CGAGGTAACTTTTCCTCCATTGTTTATATTGTCATTCTCTTTTCTCTCAAATATTGGCCATTAACTGAATTATTAAACTATCCTTTTCTAAGATTATACTGATATATCCCCAAATGATATATTTTAATATAAATTTTAGAATAAGAACAGTGTTTATGCTATGGGTATACTTTCTGCTAATCTAAAAGGAAACTTAATCAAGTTAAGAATTTGAGGCCAAGTGTGGAGGCTTACACCTATAATCTCAGCACTTTGGGAAGCCAAGGTGGGCAGATCACAAGCTCAAGAGTTTGAGACCAGCCTGGCCTGGCCAATATGGTGAAACCATCTTTACTAAAAAAATAAAAAATAAATTAGCCAGTCATGGTGGTACACACCTATAGTCCCAGCTACCCAGGAGGCTGAGACAGAAGAATCGCTTGAACCCGGGAGGCAGAGGTTGCAGAGAGCCAAGATCATGCTACTGCACTCCAGCCTAGGCAACAGAGTGAGACTCAGTCTCAAAAGGAGGAGGAGGAGGAGGAGGAGACGAGGCGGAGGAGGAGGAGGAGGAGGAGGAGGACGAGGAGGAGGAGGAGGAGGAGGAGGAGAAAAAAGAAGAAAAAAGAATAAAAAAGAAGAAGAAGGAGAAGAAGAAGAAGAAGGAGAAGAAGAAGAATAATTTGGAGTTCACTTCATGCAACTTTTCATTTTACATATTGGGGCTCCAATTTAAATATAATTGTTTCTGCTACTTTTCAGAAGCTAAAACTACCTCTAGAAAACAGCATAATGTTTAGCAATGTATTCCCATGCTTTCTGTTTCATAGGGCATAATAAAAGTGTAAGTGTGTAAACACAGAGCCATATCCACAAGTCTGAATTAATGTCTTCTCTACTAGGAGTAAACCAGAATCAACCTACTCCACTAAGAGCGATCAGCCACACTCTTCTCTTGGTAAGCTTAAGTTAGTTCCTCATGTTTTCTATAGTGTTTTGAAATTTCAAAAGGATTTTTCAATTTTTTATACTTTTAAAATCTCATCTTCTCCTCAAAACAATTTAATGAGGTAAGGATTATTTTCTCTGTTTCACAGACAAAGAAACTGAGAGCCCCACAATTTACATGCCTTGCCTTGATTCACACAGCTACTCATGTGTTTTGCTCCAATTCTCATAGCATAGTGGATTAAACTTTCAGTCATGATCTTCCTTTCCATTACCCTCCTTATTTCTCTAATAATATTTGGTAGGAAGAACTCCCAACATAGGTTGGAGAAAGCAAATGAACAAGTTGCAGGCTCCACTTACGGCTAATACTCACATTTTAGACAACAGGAAAACCACAGAAAAACCATTGCTTACAGTTGGCTATTCACAATAGCCTAATAAAATTAACATAACAAATCTGGCACAAAATCTTAAAGAAAATCTCAAAATAATTGTTTATGTCCCCCAAATCATGTAGCTCCACTAGCTAATAGAACCAATTAGAACTTGACAAAAGTAAAATTGAAAAACAGACAGATTCCTACAAAGAGAATTGGGACACAGTGCTTCATAGTTGTGCAGAGTGTCAAGAGTTGCAGTCATTGTGCTGGTCATTAGGTATTTGCTATGTCTTTTACATAAGCATATTATTTAAAATTTATGTTTGATTATTAACATGCAACATAAAATAAATATTACGAATTCAGATTTTAAGCTTTGGACAATTTACTTAACTTCTCTAGGACACAACTCAAATTATAAAGTGGTAAAATTAAGGGGGTTGTTGTGTGTGTGAAAAATAAAATATTTGTAATCTTCACATATGTATTGCATATAAATTCTTTAGTATAATCTTAAACATTGTAAGATTTCCTTAAGCTGATAAGCAACTTCAGCAAAGTCGCAGGATACAAAATCCATGTGCAAAAAATCGCAAGCATTCCTATACACCAATAATAGAAAAACACAGAGCCAAATCATGAGTGAACTCCCATTCAAAATTGCTACAAAGAGAATAAAATACCTAGGAACACAACATACAAAGGATGTAAAGGACCTCTTCAAGGGCAACTACAAGCCACTGCTCAAGGAAATAAAAGAGAACACAAACAAATGGAAAAACATCCCATGCTCATGGATAGGAAGAATCAATGTCATGAAAATGGTTATACTGCCCAAAGTAATTTATAGATTCAATGCTATCTCCATCAAGCTACCATTGACTTTCTTCACTGAATTACAAAAAAACTACTTTATATTTTACACAGAACCAAAAAAGACTGCAAATAGCCAAAACAATCCTAAGCAAAAAGAACAAAGCTGGAGGCATCAACGCTACATGACTTCAAACTGTCCTGCAAGGCCACGGTAACCAAAAAGCATACTGGTACCAAAACAGATATATCGACCAATGTTACAGAACAGAGGCCTCAGAAATAACACCACACATCTACAATTATCTGATCTTTGACAAATCTGACAAAAACGAGCAATGGGGAAAGGATTCCCCATTTAATAAATGGTGTTGGAAAAACTGGCTAGTCATATGCAGAAAACTGAAACTGGATCCTTTCTTTACACCTTATGCAAAAATTAATTCAAAATGGATTGAAGACTTAAACGTGACCAAAAACCATAAATACCCCAGAAGAAAACCTAGGCAATACCGTTCAGGACATAGGCATGGGCAGAGACTTCATGACTAAAACACCAAAAGCAACTATAACAAAAGCCAAAATTGAAATGGGGTCTAATTAAACTAAAGAGCTTCTGCACAGCAAAAGAAACTATCATCAGAGTGAACAGGCAACCTACAGAATGGGAGAAAAAAAGTTGCAATCTATCTATCTAAAACAGGGCTAATATCCAGAATCCACAGGAACTAAAACAAATTTACAAAAAAAAAGAACAACCTCATCAAAAAGTAGGCAAAGAATATGAACAGACATTTCTCAAAAGAAGACATTCATGTGGCCAACAATCATATGAAAAAAGCTCATCATCACTGGTCATTAGAGAAATGCAACTCAAAACCACAATGAGATACCATCTCACACCAGTTAGAATGGCAATCATTAAAAAGTCAGGAAACAACAGATGCTGGAGAGGATGTGGAGAAATGGGGACACTTTCACAGTGTTGATGGGAGTGTAAATTAGTTCCACCATTGTGGAAGGCAGTGTGGCAATTCCTCAAGGATCTAGAACTTAGAAATACCACATGACCCAGCAATCCCATTACTGGTCATATACCCAAAGAATTATAAATAATTCTATTAAAAAGACACGTGCACATATATGTTTATTGTGGCACTATTCCCAGTAGCAAAGACTTGGAACCAACCCAAATGCCCATTAATGATAGACTGGATAAAGAAAATGCAGCACATACACACCATGGAATACTATGTAGCCATAAAAAAGGATGAGTCCATGTCCTTTGCAAGGACATGGATGAAGCTGGAAACCGTCACTCTCAGCAAGCTAACACAGGAACAGTGTGTTAGTTTGTTCTCACTCATAAGTGTTAGTTGAATAATGAGAACACATGGACACAGGGAAGGGAACATCACACACTGGGGTCTGTTGATGGGTGGAGGGCTAGGGGAGAAATAGTATTAGGAGAAATGCCTAATGTAAATGACGGGTTGACGGATGCAGCAAATCACCATGGCACGTGTATACCTATGTTAACAAACTTGCACATTCTGCACATGTATCTCAGAAGTTAAAGTGTAATTTTAAAAACTCAATATATTTTAAGTGGTAGACTTGGCAGTATTGGAGTATGAGCAGTGGTTGCAATAATAGCAACAGTTACGAAAGCTACTTTCTCTTGGGTCCTGATAGAGCTGGATATTGGTAGTTCCATCATCCGTGCTTTACCTACTAGAATCTGAGTTCATAGCTCCTTGTACAGGTCTACAACAATTCTGGTGAGCCAGAAGTAATTACCTGGCCACTGTCTTTAAAACTTTCCCACTGACACCAGAATCTTAAGACCCTTCAGCCAATTATTTGCAGTGAAAATGAGAAATGAAATTTCAGCTAATGAATTACCACATCAAGAGAGTACCCCACAACAATAGGGAAAAATCAGATAGTATATAAGAGTAATTTTTATCTCTGTGGGGATTAAATATTAAGTTACTACCTTATCCTATTCATCAAAAAAAAAATTTCAAAGTTGGTTAAATATTGCACTGTAAAAAGTAAATTATAGAAAACCAGAAGAAAATGCAGCTCAGTATTAATCTGATCTTGTGGTGGGGAAGGCCTTTCTAAACATTTTTTTAAATGGCCAAAATCATACAAGAAATCACTTACAATTTTGACTATGTTAAATTTAGCATTATGTGTTAAAATTGAAAGGGAACAAGATAAAATTTACATAAACATACATACATATAAAAACTTGATATTTTATATTAATGCCTAGTGTAAATTTTATATATATACATATATATATATATATATATGATTTCAATGAATAAAGTTAATTCAAGTTTAGTCAAACAATAAAAATTAACCCACATCACATCCATTTTCCTTATAAAATGGATAAAATAAGACGGCACGGTGGCTCATGCCTGTAACCCCAGCACTTTGAGAGGCTGAGGCCAGAGGATCACGAGATCAAGAGACCAGTCTGGCGAACATAATGAAACCTCATCTCTACCAAAAATACAGATGGGCATGGTGGCGGACGCCTGCAGTCCCAGCTACTCAGGAGGCTGAAGCAGGAGAATCGCATGAACCTGGGAGACAGAGGTTGCGGTGGGCTGAGATCCCGCCACTGCACTCCAGCCTGGGCAACAGACAGAGACTCCGTCTCAAAACGATAATAATGAATTAAAAATAAAATAAAATGGGTAAAATAATAAGAGGTAACATAATATTATCAATACTATTATATTGCAGGTAAAAATACAAGAAATTATACCCTTCCAGCTTGCACTGCTTGGATGTGGCGCACACCTGGCTGGGGTGGAGGCCCTGGCCTGGTCTGACCTCATGAGGCTTGAGGCATGAATGCTTCTCCAACCACCCATTCCCACCTCCTGCCCTGCACCCAGCCTTGGCAGAGCCCTCGTGGCCAGATGCCCAGTGCCTGTCATGGAGTCGGAGCTGTACTTCCTCGTCAGCCAGTACCTGTCGACCAGCCTGTGCCAGAGAGTGGCCTGGCTGCCAGTGCTGGAGCTGGAGCAGTACCAGCTGCTGCTGAAGAGGTTGCACTGGGAGGGCAACGAGCACAGCAGTCTAAAAACTTGAGACATAATTATTAAACTGAATACAAAGAACTGGTCTTGTCCATCAAGCATGTGGCTCCTGATCATCTGCTGTGGGTCTGCCAGTGCTTCAATCCTATTTTGGATAAAGAAATTCCACCCCCGTTTTCAAGATACACTTCTTTCCTTGGTACAGGAAGGCAGTCTTTGTTACATACAGCAAAACATAGGTTAATGTAAAGATGTGTTCTGCTTTATGTTAATAGCTAAATAATTGCTATAATTGTGACATAATGCAAGCATTGTAGAAGAAAGGTAATAATATATGTAAGTCATGCTGTGTACCATACAACTCTCTGCATTTAGCATAGAAGACTGAATTTTGCTGTGTGTTTCGTGGGCCCTTCTGCATATAAAAAATTGATAAAGACACAAATGTTAGCTAAAAAGCTTGAATTTACTCCGAGGTGTGTTTGAGGTTTTATCAGTGTGACTTCTTAATCTTCCACCCTGGAGCTCACTTATAACTTCATTGAATGTAACTGTATTTGTCTAATAAACTTTCAATGCTAGGAGTATTTCATTTGATATTTAGAACTTGAAAGTCCTTTGTTATAAAGGGAAGTGATCATAAATTTGGAAGCAGCCTGAGAACAAGTACCAAAAAACGTAAAATCGAGTGGTTCTGTTCTTTACCAATTTGACTTTTTTGAGAAGTTATGTGCTAGCATAATGTTTGTAACTGCTATTCTTTTTCTGTTAGCTTGATATAAATGACTTTAACTAAGTATATGCATGTGATATGATCCATGTGTACATCTGATGAAACTGATAATGGGCAAAGATTGTTGGTTCTTTTGCTCCTAAACATGCATTAAATTACATTCCATGATTATTTTTTGTTACAAGCTATTGCTGATGTGATGCTACCTCTTAAACGCACCACTAATACAAAGCTTAACTGAGAAGGAAACAACCCGCCCTTTTAGTTCCATGCTAGACTGGTTTATCAGCTTTAGTTGTTTCTTAGTGCTCTACAGCAATGCCACACTGTGGCATTAGGAAACCACTTATAGTCTTCTTCCTTCTTCTGTGTCCCTATTCACTTTGTAATTATTCTGTGTTAGGTGGTTATGTGGTAGTTACTGGGTGGCATGTTTTCCTTTGTTTTCTCTACTTGTGTCAAGCTCAGTGTCATGGTTCTGTTATGAGCACTGCTTGCTACTCCAGATCTTAAAAGAGACTGGCAGCTCCAGAGTTGGGGCCAAAATTCTCTACTTGTTTTGTACTAGTACCACAAGAGGATGCCTTGTAACTGCTCTTTGGTCATAACGATAAAGAATCCATTCATGGAAAATGCAATATGCCTGTTGGTTTGGGGCACCTGAGATTTTATAGAGGTTTAGCATGACGCTCTCCCTCCTTTTTTTTTTTTTTTTTTTTTTGAGTGGTGAAGAAACTAAATTTCTAGCACAGCTTGACAGCTCATAACCTGTGTTCTGCTGCTATCTCCCATAGAGGAGGGCAGATATTGTTTTCTTAGTGCATTGGCTAGTAGGTCAAGGAGGAATGGGGCTTTTGAATTTGTGCTCAGACTCACAGATCCTGCATATGGGCTTTTCTGTAGATGATTACCTGTGATCATAAAATAAAAGGAAAGGTATTTAATTTTAATTTGTCAATACTTCATAAATAGACTAAAGTCAACGCAGTATTGGCCGAATTAATTTTAAATCTGAAGAAGTCAAGAATTTTAATATAAATGAAAGAAATTCAATTTTTCCTTATAAAAGTTTCCATTTTTAAAAAGTTGAATCAAATGTAAAACCTTTCATCTTTAATATTGTATGGTATAATTCTATGTTGAAAAATCAACACTAATTTAGCATTAAATGGGAAATAAATAAATAATAGCTTTCTGGAGACTTTTGGCAATTAAAGCCTTGTGAATTCCTATAATCTGATTTGAAAGTTCCCCCTTGAGAAATTTACCCTGAGGAAATTGAGATATGTGTAAAATATTAAATGATAAAGTGTTTATTTATGACAGCAAAAGATTTCAAAACAGCACTTGCATACAAAATTAGACTGAATAATGGGATTTTCATACAATGAAAGAACATAGTCATACAAAATCTTACTCTAGAAGTTATTCGTGTGAGAAATATTTATAGTATACTATTATAAAGTATACAGAATTATTCCAATTTTACAAAACTAACTACTTACATATGCATAGCAAATACCAAAGAATATGTTATAGATGCTTATCTCTGGGCAATAGGATTATGGGTATTTTGTTTCACAGTTTCAAATAAATATATACACACACTTTTATATGTATATAAAGCCTTTTTTAAAAAATAACTAAAGAGAGAATACAGAGAATGAGGAATCATGAAGCATAGAATGGAGTCCAACCCTCATGCGGATGAGAACAATGAGAGAACTAGTGGAGTTAATTGATATAGGGCAAGAGGAAGACGTCCCCCTTCAGTCAGTTTTCCAATAACCAAGGATCCAACCGACTAACTCGTGGTCTTTGAGGCTATTTGTCTGAGATTGTGCAGTCACCACACTATACACTTCTTTCAGTTTCTGGCCATTTTCATTGAAAAAGACAGGAAAGGGAAGTGGTGGACACAGCTGCTCTTCCCATGGGTAGTCACGTTAATTAGGGCCAAGGAAGGGGAACCAGGGAAGTTTTCTGATTTTTCCTCAGAAAAAAAAAAAAAAATTACTGTCAGCAGCTTTCTTTATAATCTCATTCTCTTAGCAAACCCCTCTTTCTCTTTCTATCCTCTTTGAGATGCTGGATATTGATGAAAAAAATACTTGCAATCCCGGCCCTAAAATTGAAATAACTTACCGACAACGCAAATAACAGGTATTGGTTTTCACAAAAGCAATTTAAAATTCTATCTCAGACAAGCTTCTCAAAATTACAATTCACCAGGCTAATGTTCTAAGAAGAAACATTGAGAGTGGAGGAGAAGAAGAGATGGCAGAGTTAGACAGAATACAAGGCGTAGAGCACATGCTCTCAGATTCCTAGAAGTGCAGAAAAAGCATTAGGTATTCTGAGCTTCTGCTGCCAGGGGACGATCAGTGTCTACCCTTGGAGGGAAAAGTCACTGGAAGTGTCGTTCATGAGAAACCTTGGAATCTTTGGAAATTCTGCTAGCAGGCTGGTGTCTGCCCTTGTATGGGTATACAAGCTGTATTCTCCTTTCTCTCAACCAGAAAAGCCAGGAAAGCCAGGCAGCCACCTTTCTCTGCCTATTTAATGAATGAGGGTGTTTTCCTTCAGGAGACAAGTCACCGAAGACCAGGGTCCTAAAATGCCAGGGTGGCATTCTCCCTAACACCGCCTCAGAGCGAGATTCTGTTGTACATTGAAGAGAAAATGACTCTAGAGTTTGGCTGATAAAGACTTCCCTGCAGTCTTATTTCAGTCATACTTCCTTTCAGAGACATGGAAGCCCTCATGATAATACTCTGTTTACAATATAAATCTAATCACCCTCATTAGCTATTCTGTTTCTCTCGACAAATTAACATTTGATAGTCTTGATAATTCTATTTAGAGACTTTGTTACGGGAAAAACAACCCTGAACAAATGACTAAATTTCCTAAGCTTACCTCAGATATAATTATTTGATATAAAGTACAGATTGCTTTGATATTTCAGTAAATGGAATTAAAATTTGTAGGATCCACTTTCTCATTAAGAAGAAAACAGCCAAGCGCAAGTCTGTTGAATCTAAGGCCCTGTGCAGTAGTAAGTGCCCAGGAAATACTTAGCCTGAATCACTGAAAACTTCCTTTAGGCTTTTCTTTGCGAACCTCAGCTCTACAGCAAAAACATATTCTGATATAAAAAGGTCGCACTGTTTTTATTATCTCAGACTATATCTCTAAGCAGGGCTAAAACCAAAAAAATTCTAATGCCACTTCCTGTCTCCCTGGGTTAACTCTGATACTTCAACAATGACCACAAAATAGATGATGTAGATTATAAAGCGCTAGCTAGTGTAGGTCAGTAGATCCTGTCTCTGTTTGAAACAGCAAAATGCCACCAATCCAATTAAGAAAGTTCAGCTTCCCACGTCTCTGAAGGAAAATGTCTTTCAGGAGAGGTTTGGACATGATAGAATTAAGGCCTGCTTCCTACACAATGCTTTGTAGACCTCTCAGTTGGGAAGATAATTAGAATCAGCAGAAATCCATAGATAAATATATGTATGAATATGTTTGCCAGAAATTTCATAGAGCATTGGTTCCTCCGTCATCTGATGAACAAATTAAGAGCATTTCCACATACGTATCTTTACTTTCATGGTTTTTCTGCCTAGAGTATCTCTACCCTCTTTACTTTTCCTGCTAAAACCATATGCCAAGGCCTAACCCAGGTCCCACCTTTTCTGTGAAACTTTTCCAAGTCGGTTGAAGATTATTTTCTTAATCTTCATCCCTGTAATAACCATCCAAACCACTGTTAAGCTTATGATTTGCTATCTGGTATTCATTCATTCATTCATTCATTCATTCATTCATCCCTCCAGCCAATCAACAAATATTTATCCAAACTTGTATTGTACGAAGCATTGTGTTCACTCTTGAGTATACAATGGCAATAAAAACAGAAGTAATACTGCTTTATGAAGCTTAGATTACGGTAAGTTCTAAGGAAGAAAAACTCTAGGGAGCTGTGGAGGGAGCGACAAGGGAGACATGCTTTAGCTGGGTGATCAGGTGCAGGAAGTGATAATGAACATCTGCATCTGTCACTGGGGGTGCCCAACATCTTTTGAGCACCCTCCCTTTGTCGTGGTAGCTTTCTACATTGTGAAAACAGCCTTCTTGAGGTAGAAACCAAAAACCCTGACTGCATAGGGTAAAAATGTGTTATGTATCCTTAGATTCCCTTGACTACCTTCTTCCTTCTAAAGGTGCCACCCACTTCTGAACTGTGCCACCCCTCTGCTGGGCTTGCAGGCTGGCTGGAGACTGAGAGGAAGCTCTGGGCCACATAGTCCACATCCCTCAGATGTTGAAGGAATCCACACTAAGTTTCTCCTACGTTTCCATACCTAGATGAAGTGCCACAGTACCAGGAATGGCATTCAACAGTGACCTGAATTATACAAGCTGAAAGCCTGAGGGAACTGACCCACAGTGAGGCCAATCTGGTAAAATAGGACATGGATATGGGAGAAAGCTCCACAGATTTGGATAA